AGTTCTTATCAGACAGCCCCCCCCCCCCCCTTTTTTCTCTCTCTCTCTCTCTCTCTCTCTCTCTCTCTCTCTCTCTCTCTCTCTCTCTCTCTCTCTCTCTCTCTCTCTCTCTCTCTCTCTCTCTCTCTGTGTCTCTTGCTCGGCAAGACAACTAGGTTTGGGGTTTTTTCGTTCTTAGAATGTGAGTTTTTTGTCGAATGTAACGCCGAGGAAACGAGCCTGGTCCTGGACGGGAATCCTTTCCCCGTACCGGTATAGTGTCAAATCCGGCTGCAGCACACGTCTGCCTGTTCGGCAAAAGTGTACTGCAACCGTCTTTGACGTGGAGAACTTGAAACCGTTATTGTTTACCCACTTTTCGAGTTTGTGCAGATTCGTTTGCAGCTGCCTTTCCATAGATCTCAGATGAGGATTTTTCGAACGGCAGCATATCAAAAAGCCGTCAACGTATAACGACGCTGTCTATGCTGTATTGGAGGGTTTTTACGATGGAATTTATTTTGATTTCAAATAGGAGAGGAGAAAGGATGTTTCCTTGGGGGAATCCTTCCTCCTGTTGGTGGGGGTCTGAAAGGGAGGATCCGACACGAACCTGGAAGGAACGGTTCTTCAGGAAGTTGCCGATGAAGGCAGGGAGATGACCGCATATGCCGAGAGCGTGCAGGTCTCTGAGAATGCCGTACTTCCAGGTTGTGTCGTAGGCTTTTTCTAGGTTGAAAAAGATGGCGATCATGTGGCCTCCTTCAGCGAACGTCTCACGTATAAAGGTCTCCAGGCGGACCAGGTGATCCAGAGTGGATCGAGTTTTCCTGAATCCGCACTGGAGACCGCTCAGCGAGCCCGTCGTCTCTACAAACCACATGAGTCGCCTGTGAATCATTTTTTCAATAAGTTTGCACAGACAGCTAGTTAGTGCTATTGGTCTGTAATTGGATGGGTGTGTGGTCTTTGTTTGGTTTGGGTATTGGAATGACAGTGGCGAGACGCCAAGCTATTGTGTTTGAGATGTCTACTTGTGTTTCAGCTGTGGTTCCATCCGGCCTCTGGACGTGCCGAATGGTGTCTGTGCGTCTTCCCAAGAATTTTTTTTAACGATTTTGAAAACTTGGTTGAGTGGTGTCTGGCTGTTGATTTTGGAGATGTATTTTTTGAAGGATTGTCTTTTGCTCTCCCTGAGGCATCTACGTGCCACAGCTCGAGCCTTTAAATAATTAATCTTGTTTTCTGTGGTGGTGTTGTTGACGGTCTTTCGATACGCTGCCTTCTTTTTCTTTACTGCATCCTCACATTCCTCAGAGAACCAGATCTTGTTCTTCCGGAGTTTTGTTTTTGTTTTTGGTATGTGTTTGTGGCATATTTCTAAAAGCTTTTCGTGGAATTTATTGTAGTTGAGGTCGGAAGTCGGGTTCAGAATCTGGGAACATTGATTGGCAAACCCGTCCCACTCTGCTCTTTTGAAGTTGAAGCGTTCTGGGATCGGGTCGTTTTGGAGGCTATTGTTTTTTAGAAGAATTGAGAAATGGTCCGTACGGTCATCCAGCACAGACCACTCAAGATCTGGGACTAGGTCAGGGGTACAGAAGGTGAGGTCAAGGGATGAAGTTCCAAAAGTGGCTCTGTTTCTGTAAGTTGGGGACCTATCATTTAAGAGACAGATGTTATTTTGAAATAAAAAATCTTCTATTATTTTTCCTTTCAGGTCTGTAGGTTTGTCTCCCCAAATGGGGATGTGGGCATTGAAATCACCTAGCAAAATAAAGGGTTTTGGAAGCTGAGCCTTTAAGTCATTTAGTTGGGTTATTTTGAGGGGGTAATTTGGTGGGATATAAACTGAGCAGATCGTGATTGGTCTGTGCAGGGTGACCCGTGCGGCAATAGCCTGGAGGGTCGTCCAAAGATGTATTTGTCTGTGGAGTGTGATGTTGTCGGTGTAGATGGTGGTACCACCGGGAGCAATCTGGTTCTCCCTGTGAATGTGATGATACGCAGTCTATGGTTGAAGCCGGGGCGAATTTTGTTTCTTGTATACAGGCCATACGTGGGCACAGTGTGGCCTGTAAGTGTTGCAATTCTGTTACGGAAGGTCGGATTCCGCCGGCATTCCATTGCAGCACGGTCATTGTGTCCTTTTAATTTTGTTTTTGGAGCATTAAGG